AAAAAAAAAAAAAAAAAAAAAAAAAATCAATAAAAACATATCCTCTCGTGAGGGTTAAAGAACAAAAAACAAACAGTTGTTTATGAAACATGCATAGCAACCTGCATTAATACCTTCCAAAGACGAAACAGCTAGTGAAGCTAACACACACACACATGCTCTCTCTTTATTTTTTAAAAATATATCTTTATTGATTTCAGAGAAAGGAAGGAAGAGGGGGAGAGAGAGAGAGAAACATCAATGATGAGAGAGTCATTGATCGAGCCCGCAACCCGGGCATGTGCCCTGACCAGGAATCGAACCCCGATCGCCTGGATCCCAGGTCGATGCTCAACCGCTGAGCCATGCCCGGCTGGGCCATGCACTCTCTTTAAAGAAAATATAAGTGGAAAAATGTTGATAATATATTGTTTAATGAATAAGTTGATTATATAAAAAACTTTTAAGACTAAAGGATTAATTTGCAGGACAGTCAGGTGAGGGAGAACAATCCAAACAAGTTTACTTATAAGTGATTTAAACTTGGCAAAACTAGTATAATAAAAGAATAATTAGCAGTCAAGATCACAGCAAACCAAGTGAATAAACACAGCATATACTGCCGGGTTTTAATGATTAAAAACCCAAGAGATTTTTTATCTTACTTTACGTAACCATTGCTGAGTGTTCATGTCAATCACCTTACGTGTTTACTGAATCATAAGAATGCGAGCATTTCTGCTGTAAGCCATAAACTTAGGGGCCAGTCAGTAATTGCTCTAAAAAAACAGGTTCAGGAGACCTGTTGGCCTGAGTTTATCTGCTATTTCTAAAAAATTTGCCTGTGGCTTGACTATTGGATTGGGTCCAAAACTTTGTGTTTTTATCTGGGGGGAGGGAGGAAAGGGAACAATAATATCAGAGGTCCTGGAAAATTTTAAGATTGCATATTTTTGAAAAGTTATAATAGGAATGGCAGTTACTATAGCAAACAGGCAAGTAATGAAGCATACTTTCAAGTGATTTCTTATTTAAAATAAAAACATTTGTTCTTTTCAGCGACCTTTGGCTCTGGGAGCTGACATTTGTATGTATTCAGCAACAAAATATATGAACGGTAAGACAAGTGGAATCTGTACTTTGAATTTTCTTTTCCATGGATCAATGAAAATAGCACAGGGCTTGACATTTTGATTCCTTTTCTATTATTATTATTCAGGTTTTCTCGGTGACTCATGTAGAAAGTAAAAAGAAAAAATTATACTTTAATTAAATAGATTTCATTTATAGCAGACCAAACTACGCTCATGATTTTTGAGCAGAGGTTTACAATTTACTATAAAAGATTATACTTTTATCCTGCTTACATCTTTAAATGAAACATTTACTTTTTATATGACTTTTATTATTTTAGGCATGGCTTTTGCTATTGTCCGATTGAATCAAGTTTATTTAAATTTATTCTATAGGGCTTTTTTTCCAGAGAGTTCTTTCAAGTGAAAGTCACAGTTTAGAAATTATAAGTTGAAGTAAAAGCATACATTGTTTTTAACGTAATGGTCTTTGTTTTGTTTTAGGCCACAGTGATGTTGTAATGGGCTTAGTGTCTGTTAATTCTGAGAGCCTCCATGATAGGCTCCGATTCTTGCAAAACTGTAAGTATGAAAAAGTTTGGATTATTTTATGCTCTCAGAGGGGCTACATTTAATCTTTGTATTTCCACTAAATGTTGTGAAATGATAGCATTCTACTAATTTAGAAAGAAATGAGAAATAGAGGTAAAAAATTTGGATCTTTAGAGGAGAGTTAGAAAAACTGGATTATAATGATATTGTTATAGCATAACTGGGCTTTACAACCTGACGTGCAGGGTGCGTTTTGTTATTTTTCAAATCCATGCTGATTTTGAACATAATGTGCTAAAGCCCAAGTGAATTTTTAGTTTTAAGATCTAATGGATTTTTTCTTTTCTTTTTTTAAAATCCATTGGTATGGTGGCATTCTTATACTATACTTTTTATATCTGAAATGGTGAATTTTAAGTAGCACTTAAGATATAAACTTAAATATTTTTCAACAGATGTCTACACATTACTTCCTGTTTAGATTGTTTAATTATCTCAGTCTCCGCAGGAGTTATTTGAAGAGACTTTGATTATTACAGTTTGACAGACACTTAAGATACAAACATAATTAGGGATAAAAATACCCTTCTAAGAAATAAGTATTAAAGTAACAAAAGGGAGGGAAACCAAAACTTACTGCTTGGTAAGTTTCTTTTTTTGTTGTTGCTGTTAACCCTCGCCGGAAGATATTTTTTTCCATTGATTTTTAGAGAGAGTGGTGGGATGGAAGTGAGGGAGGGAAGACGCGAGAGAGAGAAAAACGTCGATGTGAGAGAGACACATCGGTTGGTTGCCTCCCACATGCACCCCCAACCCAGGTACGTGCCCTTGACCGGGAATTGAACCTGCGACCCCCTGGTGGGCAGGCTGACGCTCTAACCACTGAGCATGCCGGCCAGGGCACTTGATAAATTTTGTTGGTAAAAAGTAGAAGTTCGGTCCACATCCTGGAGGCATTTAAAGTCATAGGCTGCTTTAGTCAAAAGCTAAATAGAATGTCTGTAGAACATTCAGTAATAAGGGGGGTTAACTGCTTTTTTCTCTATGTGTTGTAATGCTTTTTCAAATAAATACAAGGTTCAGCTATGTGAGTATGTGATTTTATTAAGATCGTAGAAAAGCTATTTATGTTCATACTCCAAAAGTTACTGTTTGTACATAGTTCTCAGCAAATTCATTTTCCCTATCATTTTAAAGCCCATTTCTCTAAGCATAACTTATGCTTCATTCTCATGCTTCTGATTTGATATATTAACTCCCCCACCTCTAAAACTCAAGAATTGGGCTTTGTAGCTAGCTTCTCAGACACACTATAATGAAAAAGAGGGGTCAGAGAATTTTGTGAGTTCCTACCCACCTTCAACACTAACCCAGGACATATTTATTTTGCAGCAATTGGGGCAGTCCCCTCTCCTTTTGATTGTTACCTCTGCAATCGAGGTCTGAAGACTCTACAAGTCCGAATGCAGAAGCATTTTGAAAATGGAATGGCAGTCGCTCAGTTTCTGGAATCAAATCCTCTGGTAGAAAAGGTCATTTATCCTGGTACGTTAATCTGATTTCTAAGCACATATTCTTGGGATTATAAGGCTTATCCTAAGCATCCTGAGTAAGTAACATTTATTGGTAAGTTAGGTGCTTTCATATTTTTTCATGTTCATTAATGATTGAACGCTGCTGTGTGTCAGGCCCTGTGGTAGGTCTGGTGGTAAAGAAGACAGACATGGTCTCTGGCCTTGTGTTGCCTAGAGTCCAGAGGACGCCTGGATGTTAAGAAATCAGTCTTATGCATTAGATCGGCAATTTTCAACCTTTTTAATCTCATGGCACACATAAACTAATTAATAAATTCTGCAGCACACCAAAAAATATATTTTTGGCCAATCTGACCAAAAAAAAAAAAAAGGTATGTTTTTGATTCATTTATACCAGACAGTGATTGTTGTTTTGGCTGTTGTCATTTTTCATTTGACAATCTAAGGAAAAAGAAGTCAGCACACGGGACCAAATAGTCAGGCATTGCATGTTTAAAATTTTTTGCAGCACATTTGTTGAAAATCGCTACATTAGATGTTCCTGTGATGGCCTTTAGCTTGCGAGTTTGTTCTACCTATTGTAAGAGCGCAACATTGTGCTTTCCAGTTGTTTTGCATATAGTCTTACCAGCCTGCTATTCTGCATTAGCTCTAACTTTCATCTGGTTTAGATTGGAACTTGATACATCTCAGTTAGAGATTTGATACTTATACTCACCAAAATCCCCCCAAAGCTCTCTTCCTTTTTAAATTCCTTCACATCTCACAACCTGAAGGAACGCTCATGTGAAGTTAGCTGACTTACATGTTACTGTTTGAATTTATTTTACCAGTTGTTTGAATTGTGGTGGTCTTAAGAAAATAGTTATTTGAAACTCTTTGAGATATCTAGCCATGTAATCTTAGGTGCACAGGAGAATTAAGCCTGATCCCTTCCCTCAAAGAACTTTACTAAGCTAAGGCAGAAATACAGGGTGGGGCAAAGGTAGGTTTGCAGTTATTCTATGGAAAATAATACAACAATTAATAAATAATAATACAAAAATAAACTGTGTTTCATGTACTCACAACTGTAAACCTACTTTTGCCCCACCCTGTACGTATGAGATTAAGTGCCCTATACGCACCTGGGTAAAGAGGTGTACATTTTGAATGAAGGAAGGGAGAAACGTTTTGGTCTGTGACCTGAAGTATGGGTCGCATTTGTTAAAAAGGCTTGGACAAGGCATTTCAGATTCATTCAGTAAATATTATTAATTGCCAGCTATGGACCAAGCTTTGTACCAGCAACTGGAATCCAATAATCAACAGAAGAAATGGATTTTTCATGGAAAGACACCAGGTGTCAGACCAGTGGGGTCAGACCGGACCTGGGTTCAGCAACCTCGGTACTTGAGTTCTGGCTAGGAGAGAGTTCAGAGCCAAGACTCCAACTATAAAAGAATATTTATTTAGAAAATCACAAAGGTAGAAGTAATTCATAGGAGAAATGGGCTGAGGAAACAAGTTATAGAGGCAAAGAAAGGGCCCTTGGAGCTTGGGAGTGAGGAAGGTAAAGGTGACCTGCCTGGGGGGGATGGGAAGGGAAAGGGGGAAAGGAAAGGCACTGGTGCTCTCGACGGAGGGACAGCTGGGTTCTCATCCTAAGGGTTTTAAGGATGGAGATTTTAGAGGAAGTCCCAGGGGAAGATCTCAATAGATTCAGCGGCTTTCCTGGTGTGTCCTTTCTGGGTCCCGGTCTCTGCCGATTGATTGATTGATTGATTGATTTTTCTGTGCCAGGGCAGAGGGTCATTATCCAGTGCAGCTGGTCCTGAGGTCAACCTTGGCGTTGCTTGTCTGGTTTTGCTGCTTTTCTGGGTCTGGAACTGAAATACAACTGAGGCCTAGATGTTATCTCTAGGGAGGAAAGGTCCGGGGTTTCCAAACCAAATGACCAGTGATACACTAGGGAGAAAAGGTCACCCTGGGGACGAGGTCCCACCCTACCATTGTCCTTTGCTAGGCACCCAGGGATTTCTACCCTGGTGACCTTCTGTACCTGGCCCATTGTCCTTGCTCTGCTCATGTGTGTCCAACTGCCTATTACAGAAGGCTGGTGAATAAGACAGATATTAAGCAGGACCATACAGAAGGATGTAATTAATGAGGGGTAGGGCAGTCAGCGTGGAGAATGTTCCAGGTTATAGGACAGCAGGGACAAAGGTCCTGAAATGAAAAATACAGTGTGCTATTTCTGTTGTAAAGAAAACAGGTGTGGCTAGAGCGTGGAGAGCACAGGAAACACAGGTCAAAATGAAGCTAGGGAGAGACAGGGGCCAGAACAAGTAGCCAGCTGTGACCGTCCTGTAAAGCTCGTTCATTATTAGGCTTATTTGTAGTTTACTGAGCAAATGGTGATTTTTGTTTTGTTTTGAAATTGCATGTTTGACTCTAAAATAAGACTTTATTGCAGGGCTGCCCTCTCATCCTCAGCATGAGCTGGCAAAGCGTCAGTGCACAGGTTGCCCAGGCATGATCACCTTTTATATTAAAGGCACTCTTCAGCATGCTGAGACTTTCCTCAAGAACCTAAAGGTAAACTTTCAAGACAGGTTCATTATTTCTCACTTCCACCGAGCTCAGATTAATGTTTTTGTACCTGCAAGTCACAGTTGACTTCGGGGTGGTAGCAGATATCTGAATATGTTTATTTATTTAGCTCTCCAGATACTGCCATCAATTTGAGAGAGCCAGAATGTTCCAATGCCTTGGTTTTCCAATTTACTTAAAAGTAAACCCCGTTTGCAGATGAAATATTATGTGAGACCTCCAAGTAGTGTGCCGTTAGCGCAATGCCCAGGGCTGTGCTGAAATCCAGCCTGAGAGTGGCTTTCCAAACCCTGTGCCTCCCAGGCTGCATCTGCCTGGGGTGAGGGAAGGGAGGTCTTGGTCTAAGTTTCACAGTGGCTGGAAATTTTCAGGGGGCCGAGGGGGGGCGGGTCTACCAGATTAGTCAAAGCGCTACTGGTATCTAAAATTTGTCTACATCTAAAATCAGAACGATAGCAGCGCATGTTTTATTTAGTATGACTGTGAGAGTAATTTTTAAAATTCTATGATATGATAACGCTAACTACCAAAGCTGAGTTCTTTTTTCTTATATTGGGGGGGGGGAGTTAAATGGATGTATTAATTTAATAAGTGATACATATTAACAAATGAGTGTTTAGACATTTAGATATTTTTATTTAAAGGGTAATCACAGAGCTAGGTCTCTAGGTTTTAGAGCTCATGTTGAGTATTATTTAAGTATAGGGCCAAATAGGAAGGTGTAGGAGATTCGCCTTTTATCAGCTTTTAAGGTTTTAAAAGTTTATACATAATATGTCTAATTAATGAAATTGTTACGGATTTTATTCTCATTTTTTTTGCCTGACTTGCTTGCCCAACTTACAGTTTTGTCATTATCACTGTTTCCCATATCTGTCCCAGGGCCATTTTATTAAAAACGTTTGTTTTAGGTTTTTGTATTTTTATTTCAGTGGGAGATCTAAATTAATATTTTCTTTGCTGTAGTTATTTACTCTGGCTGAGAGCTTGGGAGGATATGAGAGTCTTGCTGAGCTTCCGTAAGTATATTTTTCTTTCTCTTAGTATTTTAACTTTGATGTCAGTTTTAATGATCATTTGGGAAAGGAATATGATAAAACCAGAAATAATTCAAGATATTTAATGTTCAGAACAGCATGGTACTATTTAATCAGAATGGATTCTAACTCCATAGAGTGGAGACTGATGAGATCTAATGGAGGCTACTTTTCAGCATCCTCCCAAATTTATTTCCATCCCCCTTCTGTCTGAAGGAGATTCCAGCATAATTGTATGTTAGGCCTTTGGCCCGTGGCTACTTGTTCTATCCCACTCTGCCCTGGGAGGGAGGCTGGTGACTGCCCTGGAAGGGCCGATTTCAAGCCTCCCTGGGAAATGGGGAATGTGTCTCTGATGAAACACCTTCATGCCTTGATCATCAGAGGAGGTTCCCAGCTAGATATCATCAAATATCTTTGTTCCTGGCCAGACAACAAGACGTCAGTTCTTGTCTTCTTGAAGGAAAGATTTCAATCAAGAGACAAAGTGTACAAAAGGAAGCAAGAATTTATTGACCGCAGCAAAAACACACTTAGGACAGTAAAACAAAGGGCACAGAAGAGGCAACGGGAGGGCCTAGGCGGGGCTGCCTTGGCTCACTGGGAAGCCAGAGAAAAGGGGGCCTTGGGGACGGGTTCAGGGGGTTAGCCCGGGATGAGCTGCCGCTGCCCATTGCTCCCCTGGTTGCAAGTCTCACTGGGTCCCTTGGAGGTTAGGGGATGGGAGCCTGTGGGGGAAGAAGAGGGGGAAGGAACGGTGCAGGCGTGCTCCCTGGGGCAGTGCGCACTGGGACTGTTTTCAGGGGCTTTAAAGGCCGCATTTAGGGGAGGTCTTAGGGGAAGATCAGTAGAAAGTTGATGCTCCAAAATGAGGTTTATTTTCTTAATTTGTCTGCCCTTGGGTGTGGTTGGCAAATGGCACTAGTTGGATCTCTGTTATCTGTCTCCCTGGGTGGGGTGATTTAGGCTATTTACCCTCTGGTTGTGGAGAAGTGCAAACCATTTACTCTTTTAAAAAAAATATGTTTTACTGATTTCAGAGAGAGGAAGGGAGAGGGAGAGAGAGATAGAAACATCAATGATGAGAGAGTCATTGATCGGCTGCCTCCTGCACACCCCCGACTGGGGATCGGGCCCGCAACCCGGGCATGTGCCCTGACTGGGAATCAAACTGGGATCTCCTGGTTCATGGGTCTAGGCTCAACCACTAAGCCACCCAGGCAACCATTTACTCTTAAGTGTCCTTGGTTTAGGGAAGATAGGATTTATTAGGTGGCTGCAAACTGCAGTTTAGCTATCTGTCTTGCCTTCCCTAGCTTTTTACTATCCTATAACATCTTTTCTTTCTGTTCAGCCTTGAATGGCTCCATGTTGTTTGCAAGGTAAACCCAAACCCAACTTGTTATTCCTGGACTTCACTGCCTGACCCAGTGAATTCATTTGATTTTTATTAAAGCACCAGAAGATATTACATATGAAGCAGCCTAAGATTAGAACGTGCAGCACGTTCTTTTACAGACAAAGAAAGAAAGATTCAGAAAGTTTTGCCAATTACTCAGATTTCACGTAGGACTATGTTAGCAAGGTAGCTCTTGAGGCTTTGCAATGAGGGGAAGTAAAAGCAGCCTGGATCTGGATTTGATCCAATTACTTAACCTTTGAGCTTCAATTTTTTAATCCATAAAATGGGTTTAATAATTAAAGTAACAATGATCTCTTATTGATTACATGTCCCACCAAGCATTCCTGAACTATATCCTGACTTCATTATATGTTACCGTAACCATATACTGTAATTATTGCAGGGATCAGTAAACAGCATTACCTAATAATTTTCAACTGTACTAAATGCACGTTGTATGTTTCTGTGTTTTAATTTCTATAAACATCTGTGGAATAACTATGTTCTAGAACCATTGTACTGAGAGGTATCAGCGATTACCAAAATTTAGGCACATTTTCTGCCCTCATAGTAGTTTATAGTTTCTGAGGAGAGTTAGGCGATTTCTCAAAGTTAAAAAAAATGATGATTTTTATAATTAACATAGCACCTGTAAGTTTTGTTAGTCTTTCAAGGAAATGCCTGCTAATAAGTCCAGATGCATAAGAGGGCACACTCAGCATATGAAATTGAGTTATTTTTTATAGTAATGAAATGGTTATTACTTTAAGGGGAATTTTAAAAATAAAACTCTCCTGATTTGTTTAGAGATTTGGTTTAAAGTTGCTTGGCCCTCAGACGCTCCAGCTAGGCCATAGCCCGGATGCCAGTAGATGAGTGAATTTAGGTCAGAGCTTGTCTGTTCTATCGCCCTCCTTCTGTGTCTCCCAACTCGGCTGCAACTAGTGCAGCATTGCAATAAGGGAGGAGGGAAGCCGAGCCAGTGTGTACTGAGTTAGTCTCCCAGCCTGAATACATGTGTTTCCTGACCTTAGAAAAGTTGTTTATACTCTCTCCACCTCAGTTTTCTCAATTGTAAAATGTGGATAATACTGTGCCCAGTTCTTGGGGTTGTTGTGAGAACATGGGGAAAAATAATTCCTCATCTAATGCTTTGATTCATATTAAGAGCTCAGTAAATGTTGACTACTGTTATGAATTATTTTTTATTGGGCATATGCTATATTACAGGTACATTCCAGGTACTTGTAAGTGCTTTGTTTATGTTCCTTCCATTAAGGACTGTGACAAACTTTTAAGATAGATGTTATATCCAATTTTTATCCATTAAAAATGAATTAATGCACATAAATGACATGTCTCATGATAAGCTTAGAAGTGATAGCTACTGTTATTTCACATAAGGAAATCGACTCTGAGGACAGGTAAGTTTTACAAGCCCATACAGCCAGTATGTGGAGGGCCTGAGATTCATACCCAAGCCTAGGTTCTTATTTCTACCTGTGCACTCTCTTTTAAGAAATTAAGAGCCTGAAAAGGCAGAACATTTTAAGGAGGATGTTTGGGTGTAAAACTTCATTAGAGTGATGAAAGAAGATATCCTTACTTTGACCATGACTGAGATTTTCTTTCCATGGGTCTGAAGTGAGATGGAATAAAGCAGCTTAGGCATCGATTTTGCTGGTAGTGTGCAGGGGAAGGTTGAGCACTGGTGGCAATGTGCATATTAGGGCTCATAGAGACTGTAAGCTCCTTGATGCCTCAGCCCACAGAGCTTTCTTCCTTCTGAATTCTGGCGGCCCTTCTTGTCGCACGGGCTTGCCATTTGCTGTTGGCATTTTCTATTTTGTGAATTGTCATAGCCTTTAGCTCCTGCTTTTTTATCTAGGGTAAAGAAAATAACTCATTCTTTTTGGTTCCCCAGTTCTTACGATACTGCCTGACCCATAGTAGGTGCTTTACCTTTACACATGTGTTGTGTGCCAGAATTCCTAATGCACACTGACTGTTACTAGTGATCCTGGGTTGCCTTTTCTGGATCTGCCTCAGAAGGTCCAGTTCTGGATTGATTCATTGATCCGGAAGAAAATTAATTCTGACTGGCTCTTGGTCCGAGTGGCGTCGTTTAAGTCCAGCTGGTTGATTGTGGGGTATATGATTTCTGGCCAAGGCCTCATTCAGACAAGGTGTTAAAATCCACGCACTGGAGGCTATGTCCTTCCCCCCTGCATGGGGATGCTTGACTGGCACCTTCGGTGTCTGGATTTAGTATACCTTACTGATACTGTAAAAACAATAAAAGATCTTAGAGTCCACTTAAAAGAATGACTAGAAAAGATAATATTAAACAATCTTCCCCACCCCCCGTTTTTTTGCCTATGAAAAATTATAAGTGTATGAAGAACGTGATATTTAGAGTAGGAAAAATTGGAAGATAATTGCAATTTATGAGACAGGAATATGCCTCCGCCGATATAGTACAGTGATGAAAAATGTGCTCACTTTCCCTTCCAGGGCGATTATGACCCATGCATCAGTGCCTGAGAGCCACAGAGATGCCCTTGGAATTAGCGACACTCTGATCCGCCTCTCCGTGGGCTTAGAAGATAAAGAAGACCTACTGGAAGATATAGATAAGGCTTTGAAGGCGGCAGTAAGTCTTTAGTGTGTGTGGCTGTGTGTGCGTAAGGGTGCCTGCTTATTCTTGGGGGTGGGGCTTACTATATTTTTTAAAGAAAGGCCTTGCTCTGAACTCTTAAAGGTTTGCTCTTCTCTCCCTACAGTAAACAAGGTTTATAAATGTGCAGGAAACTCAGTTGAAGCTCAGATTTAAAACATGATTGCATCCAGAAAAGCCCTTAGGGGAGGTAGTGACATCATTGCCTGTTTAATAACCTATTTTTGTTGTGCACTGTTCTTATAGCACCCTCCAAAGGCACGTTGAACCTAGCACACCCAGAACTGCAATTCGAAGTTGCTTCCTGAGAGATCAAATCTTCCGACTAATCGAATGGACCATTAATGAACTTCTGTAGAATTTTCAAGTGGAAATTTTTAAGGCATCTCATTGCCTTTTCACAACTGTAATCTTCCAGGGGTCATTCCTGTTTTCAACAGTTTCCTCTTTCTCTTATTAACAGGTCAATTCTGTTAATATCTTTTTGTTAATTTTGGTGTACATTTACCTCTTAAGGAGGTGAGATTTGTATTACTCTTGGGGATTGTGTTCTTTTTTTCATAGTTTAAGATTTATATTGATCATGTTTACAATATAGTGATGTCATTTTCTGAAGAATTTAAATTATTGAATGAATGTTTTTAAATCAAGTGTGAGTTTTCATATTGTTGAAAACAGCACTTAAAACAATGGTTTACACTTAATTATCATAAGCCAAAAATCAAGTAAAGTCTACTGTGTAAAGTCTACTGTGAAATTCTACTGATTTAAGGTTGTGTTTACTATTTAAAAAAATAAATCTAATTATCAAATGTATTCCATTTTGATATTTCTATATTATGTGGAATTAACTTGTATTCCTGGGGACTTTTAATTCTCAGTTTTTAGAGATCTCAGCCACTTATGATAAATTTTATAAATTCAATTGTATAAATATCATACCCAGATCTTAGTATTTGCAGATTAGTTATAAATTCTACACATAGCAGGTCAAAACCACTTTTATAGACAGAAATAATACTTTTTAGATTTTTATCCTAAACAGCAGATTTGTGAGGCTAGAGGAAGAAATGCTTAAAACAGAATCTTTTATAGTTTAAGTGCATAGCAAGTTATTGTCAATAAGTCATAAGTCAAATAATTAGATTTTTAAAATTGTTTGTATGCTAAAGGCTTTCAGTCATTTGTTTGCTGTCACCATTTGTTTCAGTTTTTAAAAAAGCATATTGAACTTGATTAATAATAGTGCTGGGTAGGAGGGGAATTCATACTAATACACATTCTTATATTGCCCATGTTCTGAATTACATGTACAGTCTATAAATTCTGTCAGTAGGCAGCAGCATTTGAGGCAGGGCACAGCTCACTATGGTTTCTCACAGGCCTGGTTTCTTGCCGTTTCAGGACCTTAGGATTGTGGAAATAAACAAAGACTAGCCAAATGAGAAAAGCAAAGGCTATTTATTCTGAGCTTGCAAGGGAGTCAGCTGTTGTTACTTGTGTTTTGGCAGAGACTCAAAGGCAAGCAGAACATAAGGAATTGTAGAAATTTTAATATCTGTTGACATGGATGAGAAACGAAAATTTCCATATTTAAAATGGTCAGATGGCTCTCAAATGGATTACATTAAATCACTGTTAGAAATGTTCAAAAAAGGCACTAAGTACGCCAAAGGCAGACGGAGGAGTGGAAAAGCTTTACCAGTGTAAAAAGGGAAGGCTTCAGGTGTGCCCTTATCAGAGCGCTGGCGCTTGGGAAGCTGTTGGCGGGCTAATTTGAAGTGGGGCACCCCTCTGTGATTGGTTTGGGGTGTGTATTTGGCTTTCTAGAGTTGATCCTTATCAAAAGCAGGGAGAAAAATTAAGGGAAGCTGTCAGTTATGAATCAAGTCCTGGCCGTTTGGGGCCAGTTGCTACAGAAGTGATTGTTTAGCTTCCCAGCTTGTCGCTAGAGATAGCGATAGGTTTCCAGCAAGTCTGATGTCTAGCTCCCTGGGCTGCTTATTGTACATAAGGGAGTTGGTTTTCTGGGGAGGTAGCTGCAGACTGAGTTAAAGTTCTAGTTTTATATATGGTCTATCCATTGTCTATTTGCATATTCAGTCCCAAGAGGTTCTGGTTAGCGGTAAGTAGCTACCATTATGTTAGGGTTCTCCAGAGAAACAAAGCCGATAGGATATGTGTGTGTGTATACATATATATGTGCATATACATACATGTGCATATATATGGAGAGAGAGATTGATTTTAAGAAATTGGCTCATGACTGCAGGGGCTGGTAAGTCTGAAATTTATGGGGGCAGGCTAAAAATTCACATTAAGAGTTATTGCAGTCTTAAGACAGAATTGCTTTTCCTTTGGGAAACCTTAGGCTTTGCTCTTAAGGCCTTCAACTGATTAGATGAGGCCCACCCACATAATAGAGACTGATCTCCTTTACTCAAAATCTACTGATTTAAGTGTTAATCACATCTAAAAAATGCCTTCACAGCAGCATCTAGACTGCTGTTTGACCAAATAGCTAAGGTACCATAGCCTAGCCAAGTTGACACATAAAATTAACCACAACCATGTTATAGGCGCTGTTCCTTACTGCCTGAGAAGGCAGCATTATGTTTATTAGGATTTATGATGTTTATCTGCAGCTTTTGGTTATGTTCCAGCACGTCTCTCCCCATTAGCGTAGTTCACGCCAAGATGATTCAGTGTTTCAAGGCTGCAGCACACACTCTGCCCCATTTATAGTGCAGGTGCCTTTGTCGAGGGGAGCGTAACTGGATAGCCGTGTTCTAGTCAGGCGAAATGGGGGCAGGCTCCCAGGATACTTTCACTGAATTGCTTTAGATGACACGTTGTTCAAAATCCTACTCTACCCTTGTGTTTACTACGTTCACTGTTGAAATTCTGAGTGCAATTAAGTAGGCACACAGCATCATGTTTATTTTATACGGCTAGGTGACATTTAAGAGAAAACCTTATTATGGAGCCAGTAAAGTTACACAGTAGCACTAGTTGAGGGACTAAATCAAGGTTGCGCAAGTCACTGTTTTGTTCATTTTATTAGTGTATTTGATCTTAATGACCATTAGGACTGATTTGTTCATTAAGAGTTGCCCCATAAATTAGGATCTTTTTTAGTGAACTGAGAATTAGCACTGTCTTTTAATTGCAAGTTGCACTTGGGCTCTCAGGTCACTGTGGAGTAGAATGCCAACACCGAGGACAGCTCTTTGTGAAGCATTTAATTGAAATATCCCCCTTTCTCCCTGGTTGGCCTCCAGACACTGGCAAAGGCAAGAAAGCTCATTTTCCTCTAAAGCTTCCAAAAGGGGACCCAATTGTGTTGATACCATAATTTCATTCCCTTTGAGATCATGTCAGACTTGTAACCTACAGAACTGTAAGGTAATAAATTTGTGTTTAAACCACTAAATTTGTGACAGTTTGTTTTACCCGCAACTTACACAGGCAACATTTCAACAAGCAGATGGGGTTTTGTGGGGACCATTGCATGTCTGATAAAAGATATAAATGAACGAAATATGGAGGCAGATAGACACAAAGGGCAAACTGGGAAGGACCATCTGTACAGCATGTGGACTATTAGTAACAAATCTGGAATGGCAGTTTAAGGGCTTACAGTTTATTAATGAATGACTTATTTCAGATTTTAAAATTGGAGAGAGATAAAACTGTAGGAAAATTATAAGAATACTAACTTGGAAATGGTATTTTAGAGGATTTGGGTAGTTGAAGTGGGTAAGGCTGGACTTAAGGGGATCAGTCAAAGGTTCTTATAAGAGTCCTAGTAATAATAGAATAATTATATAATAATATTATTGTGATAGCATTTGTCACCTGTGTACACTGTGTGCTAAAAGCTTTTTGGATTGTCACTGACTTTTCCTTACAGCCTGTGAGATATATGCTATTATTATCTTTATTTTACAGATGAAGATATGGAAACTCAGAAAGGTTAGGCAAATTTTCATAATTATATAGTTGGCAAGTGATAGGGCTGGGACCCAAGCCTTGGCTCCTCCACTTGCTCTTTGGGACCCAAACAAGAATGGTGACTCTGTCTTGAGTTTCTTTAATCATTTACATCTTCAGTGAGTCAGTAAAATATTTACGCAAATTGTAACGACAAAAGCAGGTACTCAGATTCTTATTTTGTTTTCTCACATTTTTGTTCCTTGGTTTTTAAGTGAGGAGATTGGTTCATATGATACCATTTAACACTACACATGGGCTTAAATGAAGAGTTTCTCATATCATATTAACAAATATTTATTGGTCACTTGGTATAAGGCCAGCAAACTCTCAAGTCGCATGTAAGTTAAGAACTGATCATGTTTTAATAAGGGGAATACAGATATTATTTTGAAAAATATTTTAAAGTTTAATGCTTATTGTGAAAATTTTGCCTCTGAAATACATTTCTTTTGCTAACTTAAGCTTACAGCCAACTTGCAGAACTCATCTTATTTACTGACATAATACATAGTTAGCAATATGGTTTGCTTGAAAAGCCCTGGAAAGGCTGCCTTTCCAAAAACACCCTCTACATCCAATGTTATCTGAAAGTACAAAACATTACACCTTCTTTGAAAATTTAATTTATTCTTTTAAATAAATTTGACATATTACAATTCATAAATTTAAGATGTATAGTGTGCTACTTTGATACATTTGTATATTGTAATATGATTTCCATTGAAGCGATATTTATCACATTACATCATTAGAGTATGATACTATTGACTGTATTCTTTATACTGTGCATTAGATCTCTATGGCTTATTTGCTACTCGTTACAAGCTTGTATCTTTAAACACCATCAACCTTGTCGCTCCATCCCCCAGCCCCTGGTAATCACCATTTTACTCCCTGTTTTTTTACAGGTTTAAATTTTTTTTAATCCACAAATAAGTGATATTCTAAGTAATTGTCTTTGGTCTGACTTATTTAATATATACTCAAGATCCATCCATATTGTTGCAAATAGCAGAATATTTTCCTTATGGCTGAATAATATTCCATCGATTACACACCCTTTTTATTATCAAGGATTTATTTTAATATGTTCCAGATAGTTAATTCATGTATTAGTTCATGACATTATATGAATTCAATGCATTTGTACATGCTGATAGCAAAGACTGTGTAGAAGAGTATAATTTTGTGTTTCAATTCATCTTGAATTGTTTAAAACTGGAGTGAAGTTTCTAAACACATCTAGAAATGTGTAGACAATACAGATGTGAAACATTGTTTTTAGCACAATCATGATTAAGAAATGAAACACATACTAACTATGTAAACAATGCAGTAACATGCACCTTCTATAAATATCATTACATTATAATACTTCATAGAAGATAAGAGCACTGTATGCATTACTTCTTTTGTGTGTTTTTCTTTTTTTTTCTTTTAAATTTATCTTTATTGTTGAAAGTATTACAGATGTTCCCTTTTTTTGCCATTGACCCCTTCTACCCCACACCCACTCCCCTCCCCAGGCCTTCACCACACTGTTGTCTGTGGCCATGGGTTATGCATATCTGCATATAAATTCTTTAGTTAATCTCTCCCCACCCACCCACTCCCTCCTTCCCTGAGATTCGTCAGCCTGATCCATGCTTCTGTCACTGGATCTATTTTGTTAATCAGTTTATTATGTTCTTTAGATTCCACATATAAGTGAGATCACGTGATGTTTGTCTTTCTCTGCCTGGCTCATTTCACTTAGCATAATATTCTCCAGGTCCATCCATACTGCCCCAAAGGGTACGAGATCCTTCTTCTTTACAGCT